GCTCTCTGAGGTAGGTGGTGGCAGCAGGGGCGGTGGGGCCGCAGGGCCCGGGAGGGGCTCTGGTGTGCCTGGGTAGGGTGCGCCGTCACCCTGCAGGGCGGCCAGCAGCTTCAGGCTGCGCTCGTACTCCAGCAGCTGGCCCAGAAAGTTGAAGTTGGGTGAAATGGACGGGCGCCGGTCCTTCACAAACCTGGGGCAAGAAGCGGCTGGATGGCCACAGACCTTCCTGCCCGGCCAGGCTGCTGGCCCACGTCCCCTTCACCAGCCCCCATTCCTGGGCACACAGGCTGATCTGCACACTCGCCAGTGCCGGGGCTCAGGCCTCCCCTCCCCTGCCAGGGGTCTCTGAGCCCCCGAAGGTCCAGGTGTTCATGGGGGATGGGGCAGGGGAGGGGAGGGGCACTTCCGGCCTGGAGTGGGGAGGACAAGGCGGGACTACCTGTAGGCATCGTCAGAGGACATGCCCATGGTCTTCATGATGTAGGCGATGGCGATGGTGGCAGAGCGGGAGACGCCGGCGAGACAGTGGACGATGACTTGGCAGCTGGACAGCTTGGCTTTATCTGGTGGGGGGGGCCACGGGGACCAGGTGAGCGCTGGGGTCACACAGTCCTTCGCTACCCCAGGTAGGGGACCACACCCTCATCCTGCCAGCCATCCTTCTGGGAGAACAGCCCCTCCCGGCCTGCCAGGGTTCCCCTGCCACTCCTCCAGCTCTGCCCCAGGAATGGGGGAGCAGGGGCGGGGCACCCCCTCACCGATGAACTCGATGGACTTGTCCAGCCAGGGCAGCAGCTTTTCACAGTAGTTGTCATTGATGGGGATGCGCATGAAGCGGCTCTCGCAGATGAAGTCCGGCTTGGGGCAGGAGTTGCTGGCGTTGAGGACATAGCTTATTCCGTTTTGGGTCATCAGATCCTGAGGGACAGGAGGACAGGTTGTAAGGGGGTGCATCTGGGCAGGCCCTTCGAATCCTGGGACGGTCTCCAGGTGGGCAGCTCCGTCGGACTGGGCTCAGGAGGGCTGCGGCCTCTTCACGCCCCGCCTACAGCCAGCCCTGGGCTCCCAGGAATTTTACGGCTGCCTGGGCGGTGGCCTCACTCTCTTCCCTCGTCACCATTTTTAAAACACGGGATTCTTTCAGCGCTGGCCAGGGGCCCAGTGACATCAGCAGTTTGGCATGTGGGCTCCACCGACAAGGGGGTGGGGAGCTGCTGCTCCGCCCGGCCCTGACTGGCCTTTCCCCCAGTCCTGCTCCGGTCCTGGGGGGGGCAGGGGGTGGGCCCTTGGGTCCTCCTGTGGCCCTCAACCCGTGCTCATCCATCCACCCCCCATCGGCCTTCAGCTCCCTTTCTCCCCGCCCCCTCCCCAAACAAGCCTGGAGCTGCTTCTGAGCCTCTGCCCCTCCCCCGGCGGAGCCCCAGCTGTGTACAGACCTTGTTTAGGACGTCCTTCTGAGAGCCCAGGTAGAGGTGAGGCAGGATGCGGGTCAGGCCCACGCTGGGCACCGGCAGGCAGGGCTGGGAGAGGCTCATGGGCAGCAGGGCCGCAGGCTTGCCCTCGCAGAGGCCCGGGAAGCAGGAGGAGAAGGTGGCGAAGCCTCCTGCCGGAGGGGGAGCCCAAGAGTGTCAGGAGCGCCCCCGGCTGGGGCAGGAGAGCCGGGGCACTGACCACGGCAGTGTCCCAGCCACACCCGACCTGGCTCCCCCAGCCTGATGTGGTGCCGGCGCCTGGGCCTCTGGCCTGAGCACCTGGTCTCAGCGGTGCTGGACCACGCAGCACAGTGGCGGGGGTGCGTGCTGTGCAGGTCCTATGACCACGTTCTTCCTCACGTAATTAGGGGCTGGCCCCACCGAGGACGCCGCTCTGATGCCCGTAAAAGTGGGGTCGAGGTGGCGGGTCAACACAGCGTGTGCAGGGCTTGAGGCTGTGGGGGGCGGGGCTCCCGCTGAGGGTATGGATCACAGGGCCCCTCCATACCTGTGGCCAGGGGCCAGCCCGGGCCTTCCCCGCCTTCCCTCCTGGGCTGATGCAATATCTCCCTGCCTCCATCTGGCTGGGCGCCCCAGGCCAGGCTTAGGTGCCAGGACCAGGAGGCAAGAGCTTCTGAGGGAGCCCTCCCCTCCCCCTGGGCATGACATCACCCACTGGAATTGGCACAGCCCACAGGGGCATCTGCCCGCCGGTTCGGCTCCATTCCGCCAGCCGGAGAAGACCGAGGAGCGGAGGCTGGGCTAAGAGCTGGAACCCGGGAGCGGGTATGTCCTATGTGTGGCTGGCACGTGCCCTGCCGCCCGCTGTCCCCACACAGCGAGCACATCCGGGCCCCGGGCCACGGGTCTGCAGAAAGGGCCACACTGCTGCCCCAGCAGCCTGAGTGGGGCTCCCTGGTAAACCACTGGCTCTGAGTGACCGCAGCCGGGGAGAGTGTGCCATGCCTCTGGCCCGTTCCTCCTCCTCCTGCCACACAGCATGGCACGGAGGCTCACAGATGTCCGGGACCACACACCAAGAATGGACCTGCCCACACCTGGCCTGGCTGGGTGACCGCTGGCTCTGGCTAGCAACTGGGCAGCACCCAGTGGCTGCCAGCTCCTGGTAGGATGAGGTGGGCCTGCTGGGTGGCACCCTGGAGCTGACCACACTTCTGGGGACACAAGCCCCATGGCACCTTCCCTGCCCGGAGTCCAGCGGGCTGCTGTTTCTGTCCTCTGTGGGCCAGCCCATCACACAGGACAATCAGGCCAAGGCCTGCCCGACCCAGCGGAGAAGCCAGGAGAGTGGGGTGGGGTCTCGGGCCTGGGATCTCCAGGGATCTTTCCTGCCCTGGGCCTAAGCAGCAGCTGGTGCTAGAGGCCCTGCGGATTCCCAAGGCCAGGGACACCTGGCGGTCTCAGCCTTCTCCCCTGGCCCCAGCTCAGTGGTGGGTCGGTACAAATGCCCAGCTAGAATGCCTGTGTGTACTTCCTGTGTCCCCAGTGAAGGCTTGACTCTGGGGGGCCGTGGAGATGGGGGCCCTCCAGGCTGGGGAGTAGAGGCGCCAGCCCTGGAGAAGTGGTCCCTTCCTTAGGGAGAAGCAGGTGACAGCACTGAGCACACAGCTGACTGGTTCCCAGGAGAGGAGGCGGAGCCCGGCGCTGGGTTTGGCACCTGCTCACCAGAGCCAGGGGATGGCCGGGGCACTCAGAGCGGCCTGGCCAAGGCGGGGCGCGGGCTCCACCCGGAACCCCTGCCCCAAAGGGAAGTGTCCGCGCAGGTGCAGAGACCTGCCAGCCTTTGCTGCGATTCCTCCGCTTGGGGCCCCCACCCCTGAGCCCTTGGGCGGAGCCGAGCGGTTGGGCGCCCCCCCAACGCCCTCTTGATGCCAGGTCCAGAGGGAACTCCAGTCCCTTGGCGTCCCCAGGGGCGCGAAACGAGGGCCACCTGGGAGAGGGGTCAGTGGCAGCAGGCTCGACCCTCTGCAGGTCCCTGAGTCCCCGCGCTTGAGAAGGCACCCCTACACCCAGCATCCCCACGGGCACCTTCCTTCAGGAGGGACACGCGGCCCACACGAACCGCCACTAACCCGCTCCTTCTGCTGGGCGGTCAGGGCGGGCACAGCGCC